ACTAATAATATAACTAATAATAACTAATAATAAACTTAATAATAAAACTAATACTACAACTCATTCTATAACAATACGATAACAATAATATAAACTGAAATTTTCATGAATATAAGGATATAGCTATCTTCATCACATACTACATGTACAGAATATCTAGATTGTATCCATTTTCGGTTATTTCTTATCACATAGCTACTTCAACCATCTAATTATTACTAATAACTATCATATACATATATATAACAACATACAGAGATAAAAAATCTCAATGTATAAAATAAGTGTAAGCCAATCTTCAGAAAAACCCAATCGACGGCAAATTGGAATATATTGTGGATTTAAGGACGGAAGCTGGATGTTCTTATTTGGTTTAAGTTGAACCAGTGTAATATGATTGTACCCATGCCATTGTAGAATAATAGGTTTCTTATGATGACCAGGCTTTTGATCAAACAATAAAAAAAGAAGACTTGCTGTAGGATCTGCACCAAATGTTATAACTGGCACATTAAATGCATCAGATGCTAGTTGTGCACATTCAGGTGTATAAAACCAGTAATCCTGTGGGCATTCTGGTGTTAAGTATGATAAAACAGTTGTAAGTCATTTGACATTATATTCAAGTATGTTATTATACATTTCTTCTTGTTTGGTCAAATAATCTTTCATAGCAATCTTAACGTCTTTCCATTTTTTTTCATCTTTGAAAATAGCTATAGCTAATGACCGAAATCCACAATGACCATCTCCAATTGAGTTATAGATCTGAAATATTGCATCTTGAGAAATGTATAGATTAGTAAATGCATTAGATGGGTGTAATGTAACTATATCATTGTCTAACTTCTGGTTAAGAATATTTGTTTTAGGTGGTCGACCACATGCATGCTTAATTCTTGTTGTATTGTCAATACTAACAATTTTATACTTTTGATTAACAAGTGTTTTTTTCAAAAGTATTTTATTTGCCTTATTTTCATTTGCACTACGGATATGCTTGTTATTTGGTAGTCAACCACGTGAACGCTTAACTGCTGAAATTTTTATTTGATCATATTTTTCGCTATGCTTAATGTTGATCGTTTCAAAAACATCTTGCTATACGATGTTGTTACTTTGTTGTAGTTCTGGTACTTTTCCATGCTCCATAATATATTCAGAGGCTTGCTGCATCAAGTTTGAAAAGTCACTGTGATGATATGTTGGAAGTTGTTCGAAAATCTCAGTAAAACGTGAATCGACTGCATTTTTCATTTTTGTGTGATGGTCCACAATTCAACGTTGATGAACTTCACTTTGTGGTACATAAGTATGCAAATAAGATATATATATGGTAATAATATGCCAACACAGAGTTCTGATACATAGTGAGTGTAGGCAAATACAAGTACTGGGTGTTCCAAGATGCATAATGCATGTTTGAGTTGTGTCATCAATTTGTGTTACATTATATACACCATTACTACTTTCAAATATTTCATAATTACTAGATTTCACAAGATCTGCTTGCTGTTTAATAAAAAGTTCAAATGCATATTTTGAATATGCTAATTTAATTTTTTCCAAACCAGCATCAGTTTTGTCGAATATATATTTGTTTTGATGCAAAAATGTTTCATATGCAAGCCTTTGAAAAAATTCTTTTATCTGTTTCCAAAGGATCGTAAATATTCTATCAACTGGAATAATACGATTTTCAACCCCCTTTAATTTACTGTGTAAACTTTCGATGCGTTGACTTGACTTGATGTCAAGGTTAATATTACATCTTGTATATGGTCCTAACCAACTTTTTTGATACGGCATCCAAGTTTCACACATGTATACTTTTGCTTCTGGAAATGTTTTCCATAACTTAACAATTTCTTCCTCGACTTGACTTTCTGGAAAATCGCTATAGACAAGTTTTTGAACGGTTTTTATAAATTCATCAATATCAACGTTTTTCCAAAGCTTGTTCTTAATGTTTTTAAAAATGTGCCATGTGCACAACTGATGTTTTGCAGAAGGGAATACATTAGAAATTGCTTTCATGAGGGCCAATTCACAGTTGGTTATAATTGTCGCAACATGCGCATTACCAATAAACACAATTAAAACCTTATTTAATTGTTGTAAAACCCAAGTGTAAAAATCTTGTGTTTCTGAGTAAATAAGTGCAAAAGCCAGTGGATATGTAGACCCAAATCTATCAATACCACAAATAGCAACCAAAGGCATTGAGAATCTATTCATCTTGTATGTGGTTAACATCCTTTCCTACTAAAAATTCATCAATTAAATCACGATACGCCCAGAAAATTGATTGAATAAATGCACCATCCTGATCTCGTTCATCATTAAATGCAGGTTTTAATGCAATATTTCCTACAATGTTTTCATTATCATGCAAAGTTTTAAAGAGCAACTCTATCTCATTCAAACCTTGTAGTTTATGTTGACGCTGACGGCTTACTGCATTATAAACATCAGGTTTATGGATGTACTTAGAACTAACAGAGTTTAAGACTGAAAATATATCTTTCGTCCTTAGACTATTGTCATAAAGCTTTTCTACTAAGCCCAAATCATCTTTATCAAGTTTGCGCATAACTGTACTAAATTTTGTGGGGGTACGTATCATTTCACCGACAATCACTTCACCAACAACTTAGTTCACTGACAATTAATTCACCGACAAGTTCATTTCACTGACAATTAATTCACCAACAAGTTCATTTCACTGACAAGTTTTTTTTATAAATTACACTAACCTTAACTCTAATTTAGCCTGACCTTAACGACAATGACCAGAGTTACTTTGTCTGTGAAATAAGCTGTTGGTGAATTAATTGTTGGTGAAATGAACTTGTTGGTGAATTAATTGTCGGTGAACTAAGTTGTCAGTGAAGTAATTGTCAGTGAAATGAGCACTACCTATTTTGTGACATCTATACAAACATCATAATTATGTTCCAAATAAGCCTTAGTTATTACAAATTCTTTAGCTCATTTACAATAATTTAAACTGATAGCAAAATGATATCCAATACGCTTAGTCGTATATTCTTCATTCGTTCCATTATACTTTCCTTGTTTTTCACATACAAATCGTGCTTGTCTATAATTGTTATTATCCGGATTTTTGTTGTATTTCCTAATATTATGACAGTATTTGTTTGCGCCGCATATTTTTCAATTGCTGCTCGAGCTTCAGAAAAAGTTTTAAATGCACATCCAGATTCAATTATATTAGTAGTGCTAGTATTCATTGTCAAAGAATTTTCTAGCAAACATTCTAGCTCAAGTTTATTAATTAGTGATGTCCTACATTATATTTATCTGTGATTTCAAGACGCAAATAATGATGCAAAACAACCTAAAAATCCGGTTTCTTATGTTTGTATTCCAAACGGAATTAATTTATCCCTAATTCAGTTATATTACTTGTATTACAATCATGGCATATTTGTATAAAGCAAGGACGAGTTTAATTATAAGCAAGAAAAGCCGACTGAGTGTTGAAAGTTGAGTATTTATAAGATACAGGCCTGATTAATATTAGAAAAAGGTTGTGAAATAAAGCGAATTTACTTTCGATTGTAATAAAAAAAAAACTGATTAATTATTTAGATCAGATATTTATAAGATTATAACATTGATGTATTTGTGAGTTAAGTATAATTCAAAGTTTATTAATTTTGTGTCACACACATAAAAAAATAATGCTTGAGTGTAAATGACAGACTTTACGCACTTATTTCTAATATCTAATTTCCAGAGATTTAATTGGTCGATCCAAATTGATGTATGCATGGTTACACAGAACTAATGTATATGAAAAATTGCCAAAATTATATATGATATAAATAATATTAAAACAGAATTTTAAACTTATTTTAAACAATAAACCAAATTTAATCTATCAAATACTTCTTTATAATATCTTTGAAAAGAAGAAAATAAATCTAAAAAATAAATAAACAAAGACTAGTATAACAATATAATCTAACCTATTATTAAAAAAAAATTATCAATACTATTAATACTATACATGCTAATGAAATTATTTTGGGGTCTAAAACCTAAAATTAAAATTTGAAGATAAAATTGTTTTTGATCTATTTTACTTAAAAAACAAAATTTTTTGATATTTTTTTTAAAAAGACAAAATTATAAGAAATATAATTACTTAAATTAAATTTGCTATTATATATAAAAAATTTCAATTTGCTTTAAGGCTATACAAAATTAATTAATTGGTTTTTATAATCCAGCTATGTCAAATTTGAAACTTGTAAAAAAAAATTTTTTATATGTTTTAATAATCAGGTGGGTTTTTTAAAAAATTTTTTAAAAGTTTTATATATGAAAATTAAAAAAAAAGCTGGCTGGCTGGGTCTGTTTAAAAGTTTCATATTATGAAAACCAAAATATTAAATTTGTGTAGCCTAATAAAGATGAAATAAAGTTTTTAAAAACTTATTTTAGTAGTATATATAATTAATATAGCTCAAACAAAATAAGATATACAAATTCTTAATAATTTTTAATAAAAGTTTAAGCATTTTTCTTTAAATACAATAAAACTTAATTATATATAGAGGTGAGTTAATAAAAATCAATCAAATTTTTATAATAAAAAATTTTTTATGATTTTAAACAAGAATAACTTAACAAAAACTTAACCAGATTTAATAAAAATTTTTTAAATAATATTTACAAATTTGTAGAATTAATTTAAAAAATTGTTTACTAATTTTGATTAAGTTTTTGTTAAGTTATCCTTGTTTAAAGTTTTAAAAAAACTTATTAAAAAATATTTGCTTACTTTTTATTGACTCAACCTCATATATTTAATAGCTGTATACATCTATCACAAATTTTCAAATATAAAAATAAAATCTTATCATTCTAATATCAAGAAAACCAATTTTTTTCAGATTATTAAATAATACCAAATCTATTTCTTTATAGAATATGCTCACAAGATTTTTACTAAAATTATTATAAATTAACTATTCTTTATTTAGTATTTGATACTTTTATTCTTCAACTATGTTGTATTCTTTTTTTTATAATTCAGCAATCCTGCCTTTGTTTATTTGAGATTAAGCTATTCAAGAACTATATATTTTTATCTATAGCTATCACTAATCTAACTAAATTAGAGACTTACCTCTGGCTTTTGTTCAAATACAACCTGCCTCAGTAGTTCTTAGCTTTCCTCCTGATTCTTAACTTACTAAAGATTTTTTTCTCTTTGGTCATCGGCTGGCAATTATCTGCCTTGTCAATACTATCTAATTATATTTATATTTCACAATATAATTGTACTTTGGCCATAGCCAGTATTTGCGAACAATGCAAAGCATCAAATCACTAATCTTAAAATAAGATTATTATATTATATATTCTCTATTCTATAAATTCTAAAGATTTTGCTACTACTTAATTTTTTCTGTGATCTTCTATAGTTACCCTAATTCATTTTTCATACTTTATTTTTTTCTTTCTATTGGGAGGTAGTGGAACATGTAGTGTAATATATAAGTTATACGAAACTCAAGTAAAACTATTGAATAAATCTAGCAAATTTACAGAGTATGGAAGCCCACTTGGCAAAACCCAAGTAGAGAGGTAGCACAGATTTTTGATAGCTACTATGTAAAGGATGATCAACTAGATACCGAAAAACCGGACAGGACCAAGATGTTTGGCAAGGCACTATACCAACCAAACTGTTGGATAACTGAAGGAAGAGTTTCACTCTTCTGAGCTATCGGATTAGGAGTTTGGGTTTTTGGAGATATGGAAGAAAATCTGTAAAGTAGGTACCAGGATTTGAGTAAACTCTACAAGGGCAGTAGTAGGTAACAGTAGTAGCCTCGGCTTGCAAGTACTTGTCTTCGCACTTAGTATAAGTTACCAAAAAGGCATAGTCTGAAAATGTGTAGGATATAGAAAGATTAGGAGGTATATACTATACTCTCCTTAGAATAACCTGATAAGTATGAGAACCTTACTGGGTTATCTATAAATTTAGAGCGCAAGTAGTGTAGCACATATCGATCTGAGTGGTCTTCAATAAAGTAGCACGAAGTTATAGGTTGGTATAATTGAGGTGGTGATGCAGAACAGGGGACATCAAAGAGTTTAATTGGATAGCTTAAGTAATAGTGGATATAGGTACAACATCTAGTATAGATCCTAGTAATAGATAGCTACTTTATTAGGCACTCAAAAGGCACAGGTATGACTAGAATGTACTCTTGTTAACCAAGAATATACTACTAATATACTTAATAAAAATTCGCCTTTCTATAATATTGCGAAGGTTAAAAAAAAAAAAAATAATAATAATAATAATAATTAAATCAAATTCAAATACAGATTTTTTAAATTAAATCAAATTCAAATCCGGATTTTCAAATTAAATCAAATTCAAATAAGTCTAATATTTGATTTGATTTGATTTTAAGGAACCTTATTGTATACTCAGCGGCTATTCTTTCTTTATTATATATAAACAGCCTTTCTTTTTCTGCTGCATATAGGTTTCTTATAGTACTGATTACTTCATCTAGTAGGATATATTCTATTGGGTCAATTTTTAACTATACTGTCTCTTGATATAATGTATTATTTCTTTTTCTGAGTGCAAGTTTTGTATATATAATTTTTTCTGCTCTATATTGTCTCAATTTTTTATATATTGCTTCTATTCATTCCTCTGCTTGTTCTGCTGTTATAGGTTTTGTTCTAGCATTTTTTATTGTTTTTTGCTTTATGTGACTATTTTGTTGTTGTATTTGTATATCTCCTTTGTTTTTGTTTGTCACATGTTTTTTAATGTGTTTTTTTTGTTTATTTTTTATTATATGTTGTATATCTTGTATAACAGCAACTGATCTGCATTACGGAGTCAAAATTAATTTCCTAAATGATTTGCAAAAGGCAAAATTTTCAATGATTTTTCAAGTTTTTCTACTATATCTTTGCCAATTCTACTTTATTTACTCAAGTTTGTTAAACGACTGAGTATTATTTCTAGTCTTTTTGCTTTTTCTTTAGAGCTACAAGTCTTGTTTCCTATAATCAGTTGTGCATTTCTGTTATTTTTTGGCATTGTTTTGTTTTATATTTTGTATACAGAGAATCAGCGAGAAGAGTTTATGTTGTATTTCTTTTTATTTCTATTATATATCTAATTAATATATTAATTTTTTTTTTTTTTTTTTTTTTTTTTTAATATTAAGGTGATCACTTGGGGTCTGGCATGTTTTATTGAACTTTGATTCGAATGTCAGAGCAACCTACATGGGCTACTCCTAACTTTGTTATATTAACAAAGATACAACTAGCCATATGTACAACTTTTGGTTATCTATTTAAGCAGTCTTGCATATGTAACCTATATGAACTACACTAGCTGCTATACCTATAACCCAGCTAAGGGGATTATCTATTTAAACCCTCTGATCAACTTAGTGTCATCAGATATTCTCCTCAAAGAAGGACTGCCAGAAAGGCCCCTTAAGACTTTAAAATGGACACACACTACCATATAGGGAGTCCTTTATCCTTGTGATAAACCTACCAGAGAGGTTCATGTCCTACACATGTATCACCTAGATTTTTGGTAACTTACGCCTAGGCCGTAGCCAAGTATTTGTGGCTTTTTACTTTCACTACTATTACTTACTCATTGCCTTTACAAAGTTTATCCAAACCCCAGCACCCACTTTACGGACTATCAACAGTACTTTGATACCAACCGTTGATGCTCCAAACTTCTAATCCAGATGACTCAGAAAGGACCAGTGGGCGTCTCTTGGTATTCTGAATAAATTCTTTTTCCTCTGGTTGTCCGGTAGCCTGGTTGGTATAGTGCTTGCCAAACACTTGGTTCTTGTTCAGTTTTGTCTTCGGTGTCTGATTTTCTCAGATGATAATCCTTTATATAGCGCTGTTAAAGATCTGTACTACCTCTCTACTTAGGACTTTTCAAATGGGCTTCCATATCACTTGATCCCTTGGATTTATTTGGCTGCTTCACTTGGGTTTCATGTAACTCATGCATCACACTACATTCCACAACCTCCCAATGCGAGTTGGTGAGACCAAAATCACAGGTGCTTATCTAATCGATATGTTATACAGTTTGATCGTAACGCATTTTCGCAAATTCGAATTTCGTCACCAGTGAGATTCAAACTCTTGTCTTGCCACTTAGGGGTGCGACAACTTATCAACTACACTAAGTTGCTAC